TGGCCCTTCGAGCCCCCCAGAGGCCCCTCCAAGAGCCCCTCCAAGAGGCCCCTCCAAGAGGCCTCCAAGACACCCCCAAGAGGCCTCCCAGAGGCCCCCACGAGGCCCCCCCAAAGCCTTTCGGACGCCCCCAAGAGCCTCCCACGAGTCCCCCCAGAAGCAATCCAAGAGCCCCTTACGTGCATGCAAGAGTCTCCTGACCCAAGATATAACTTCCACGATCGTCTCAAACACTCGCTCCTCGTGGGGGGCGGTGGAATGGCGTAAGCCACTTGAATAGAAGACCTGACCGGACGAAATGTCATACACGCAGCTGATCTGAAGGACGTTAGAGGGCAATTCCACAGTTTCCACGCTCGGAAAGCCAACTGCCCCTTTTGCTATACCGAAGCACTCGGTGGAATCAGCCACGTCGCTAAGGCCACCATCATGGCACGTCACGCCAGCAGGCATCAGCGAATAGTCAGGAGCAGGGGTAGTGGTTGAGGACGTCGAATCGGTCTGTGTTGTAACAGTGGCGCTCGTGACTGAGCTGCTTGATGTAGTCGTCGAGGAGACGAACACGCCTATGCAAACATACTGGTCGGAGGTTGCGCCATCTGACCCAGCACTGCCGTCGCCAAAGGTGAGCATGCCGTTTTTCCAGACGCAGCTGTGGGCAAAGCCAACGAAAGGCCCGAACGTCGTGCCCCCGAGGCCCAACGCAGCCTTGGCTGCCCCGAAGCACTCCGTAGAGTCGGCTATGTCCGTGAGGCCCGCGGAGGCGCAGCTCAGGCCCGCGTCCAGCAGGGTGTAGACTACTGAAGTCGTGGTATCGGTGGCGGTAGTGGCCCCAGGCACGGTGGAAGACGACGACTGTGTGGAACTGGAAGCAGAGCTAACGGAGGTGCTGCTCATCGTCATGCTCGCCGTCACGGTGGAAGTGCTGCTCGCAGTGGGCGTCGTTGCGGTGATCGACGACAGCGTCGTGCTGGTCGCCGTGGGCGTACTTACGGTGATCGACGACGATACCGTCGTGCTGGAAGCAGAGCTGGTCGAAGTGCTGCTCATTGTGGTGGTCAGGACGCCGATGCAAATATACTGCATGGTGGCCGAGGGCTGAGCCGTAGAGCCGGTGGCCGTTGCGAAATAGACCTGGCTGGTGTCCGTTTTGAAGACGCAGCTGAATGACAACCCGACGCCAGAGAAGTCCTGAAAGGCAGAGGAGCCCAATCCGACGTAAGTCGCCGCCATCGTGGAGCACTCGTGAGCTGTCGTTACGTCGGCCATCCCCGCATCGTAACAAGTCTGTCCTGTCGACAAGAGCGTATCCGCCACCGTGCCTCGGGCACGTAGAGGGGCGACCCAGGGTCCTGACAGTCGTGGACGCTGCGTGCTAGAGGACTGCTGGGTTCTCAGACCATCTTGCCCGTGACTTGGGCCCCCAGGGCCTCGACCCCCCAGGGCTTCGCCCACCACCCAGGGCCGGCGTCTCATCCGGAGACGAGGTCTTGCTGGAGTGCCGCACCCAGCACCTGCCCCACCCGGCACGAGCCCAAAAGCCCCCGGGGACCCCCGGGACACCCCGGGAGGCCCTCACAGGCCCCGAGCTCGGAAGGCCTGGAGGTCTCCCGGAGGCGCCCTAGAGGTCCCCAAGGGGCGGTGGCGGGATGGGCCGGAGGCCACTGGACCTGTGCTCGGCACGGGGACGGAACGCGCAGGTACTTCGTGGGGGCGCGCGATCGCTTGCGTGGGGTCTTGGAGCCCTCTTGGTGTTGAGACTCTGGTGCGTCATGCAAAAATTTGACACACAACCTTGCGAGAATGAAGGAATATTCTGCCTCTCCGGGCCTTCGTGGGGCCCCTTTTGGGGCTCTTTTGGATCTTCTTGCGGCCCTCTTGGCTGTCCTGGGACCCTCTTGGGCCGCCTTGGGGGCTTGGGCCGTCTTGGGGCCCTCTTGGGGCACTCTTGGGCCCTCTTGGGGCTCTCTTGGTGACCTTTTTGGGACCCGCAGAGACTCCTCTTGGGCCGTCTTGGGGCTCGGTTGGGCTGACCTGGGGCCAACTTGGGCCGTCTCGGGGCCCTCTTGGGGGCCTCTTGGGCTGTCTTCGGGCCGTCGCCGTTTTCGGGCCCTTGTGGGGGCCTCAAAGGCCGTCTCGAGCCGATCTTTGGAGCCTCTTGGGCCGTTTTTGGCCGTTCTTGGCCCGAAAAGGCGAGCATACCCAAAAAACCTTCCAGAACCATTGGAACATGCAGTATTTTTGCCGCTTGGAGCCCTCTTGGGGAGTCTCTTGGAGCCCCCTTGGGCCGTCTCGGGGCACTCCTGGACCGTCAGGAGACCTAGGCGGCCATCTCGGACCCCCCCCCCCCCGCCCCCCCCCCCCTTTCGGGACAGTCGTGGGGTCTCTTCGGAGCCGCCTTGGAACCTTTTTTGGAGCACCCAGGGTCCACTTGGGGATCTAGGGCGTCTTGGGCGCTTCTGGGCCGTCTTCGGTACCTCTTGGGCCGTCTCGGGGGGTACCCTTGGGCCATCGGATTCGGCGGTTCCGGCCTCGCCCCTCCCCTGGACCCCTCCCTAGAGGGCTTCGCCCCACACAGGAACATCATCACTCGTACCTCGCTCGTTCCGTCACATGGGCCAGCACGGGAACGACATGAGCGGTTCGGGCACTTTCCTGAGATGGCTCATGGCACCGTTCGCTCTTGGGAGCCTTGATGTGAAACATGTGTCACGTTACCGCTCGCCCTTGGGAACCTTTGTGTAAAGTGCTTGTCATGTCACTGCGGGCTCATGAGAGCCCTGATGTTCAGAGCTTTTACGTAAACGCTCGCTCTTGGGAGCGCGGGTGTTCAGAGCTTATCACGTTACGATGGGCTTTCGGAAGCCTTGGTGCTCAGAGCTTTTTACGCCACCGCTCGCTCTTCGGAGCCTTGGTGGCCAGAGCTTTTAAATGCACCAATCGCTCTTGGGAGCCTGGTTGTGAAGAGCTTGCCACGTCACGGTGGGCTCTCGATGGTCGTGGTGTTCAGAGCTTGCTAGGTCACCGCTCGCTCTTGGGAGCGTGGGTGTCAAGAGTTGCTTACGTCACCTCTCGCTCTGGGGAGCCCTTGCGTTACGAGCTTGTCACGTCAATGTGAGCTCTTGGGAGCCTCTGTTAGTTGGCGTCTCCAGGCCTTCTTGGAGGCCCTGTTGGGCGCCTGCTGGACCCTCTTGGGGCCCTCTTGGGCCGTCCTGGGGCTCTTTGGGGCCGTCTTGGGGCGTCTGAGAAGGCTTTGGCCGTCGTGGGGCCTTCTGAGGGGCATCTTAGGCCCCTCTTGGGAGCCTCATGGGGCCCACTTGGAGCTCGCGTGGGAGCCTCTAAGGGCCTTCTTGGGCCATATCGGGGCCCTCTGAGGGGGCGTCTGAGGGCCGTCTTGGAGCGTCTTGGGGCCCTCTGGGAGGCCTCTTGGGCCGTCTTGAGACGATCTTGGGAGCCTTTTGGGCCGTTCTGGCCCGTCGGGTGCCCGAAAAGGCGAGAATCATAAAAACATTGTTTGGGGTAATACCAGTTTTCGGCCTCCTCAGGCCGCCTCGGGCACCCTCTTGGGAGGCTCGTAGGCCGTCGTCGGAGCCTCTTGGGCCGTCTTGGAGGGCTTGAGTCGGTTTGGGACCCTCTTGGGGCCGTCTTGGGTCCTCTTCGAGGCCTCCTGTGCCACTGGTGGGCTTTCCTGGGAGCCTCTTGGGGCCCTCGTCGGATCTTACTAGTGTTCTACGCGGCCGTCCTGGGGGCCTCTTGCGGCCCTTAGAGCCCTCCTGGGCCGCCTTGCAGCAATCGCGGGCGCACTCGGAGCCGTCTTTGGCCGATCTTGGCCCGAAACTGGGAACACCCAAAGAACAGTGGAAACCATCTGGAACCTCCATGTATGATTCTGCCTCCTCAGGCCGTCTCAAGGGTCCTCTGGGGGGGCTCGTGCGCCGTCTCGGGAGCCTCTTGGACCGTCTTTGGGTGGCCGGGCCGTCTGCGGGCCATCTCGAGGCCCTCTTTTTGGCCCTCGCGGCGGCCTTCCATGGCCCTCGGGGCGCTCTTTCGGGAGCCCACGTTGATTCGCGCGTTGAAATCCCAGGGAAGGCGTCCTGGCACCAGTCAGAATCGCCAGGACGCAACAATGACGCTGATTCGCGGCGCTGAGGAGTCCCTGGAGTCGCATTATGGCACGATTGAAGATTATCAGCCGACTGTCTTCCATCGGGGCAATTCCCGCAGTGATGACAAATCCTTATCGGGACCTATGAAGATGGAACTTGAAGGGTGGGTGGATTGCATCATCGCTGATGCGCCTTAGGTTTACACTGGTCCTCATCATCCTCCTCATCATCACCATCATCGATAATTCTCCTTTCTGAAAAAAAGACTAGACCCCCCTCCCGGACTTACCGGCTCCCCCTGGGATGATATAAAATCATATATATATATATATATTATATTATATATATATATATATATATATGTATATGTATTATAATCCTGCACCGCTCGTCCAATCCTAAATATGAAAATCATATCATCCCAGCCAGGCCGGTTTCCCCCCCTGAGGGTCCCTGTTAAAAAAAACACTATGCGGTGACATTTTTGTTTAAAATAGCACTTTACTCCACGAAGTCCCTTGCAAAAAAACGCGACGAACTGCACACGCGTCGTCGCGCCGCATGCCGAATCCTTCAAAAACCTTGGGTGCGGGAAGGATGTCGCCAATCGAAGCTTCCAAAAAAATTGCAAAAAAACAACGGGTTTCCGCAACACAGAGGCAAGGCAGCGGGGATGCTAAAAAAGCTTCGCGAAAGCTCTTGCGAAAAAAAACAAGAAAAACATCGTAAGAAAACCATAGGTTTTTCAAGATTTTAACAAAATGCTACCAAATGGGCTTCGCGCGCGCTCATGTCGAAATCTGTCGAACGCCCTTGCGCGTGTGCCGTCGCAAGAATCCCCTGCAAAAAATGTGACGAAGTGTAGACGCGCGCGTCGTCGCGCGCGTACGCCGAAAACCGTCAAAACCCATCGGTTTCGGAAGGATTTCAAAATCGTGTGTCCAAAAAACCTACAAAAACACAAGGTTTCGCAACACGGATGTTCAACAAAAGCGTGCGCGCGCGCTCTTGCGTCGTCGTCGTCGTCGTCGTCGTCGTCGCCGTCCTCCCTCCTCCCGCGTCGTTGTCGTCGTCGTCGTCGCCTACGTCGTCCTCTGTCTTTCATCGTGTTCGTCGTCGTCGTCCTCTTTGGCGTCGTGGTCGTTTCCGTCGTCGTTGTCGCCGTGGTCGTCCTTCCTCCTCCTCCCTCGTCGTCGTCGTCGTCGTCCGTCGTCGGCGTCTCGTCGTCGTCCCTCCTATGTCGTCGCCGTCGTCGTCGTCGTTGTCGTCGTCGTCGTCTTCCCTCCTCCCTCGTCGTTGCCGTCGTCGGCGTCGCCGTCCTTCCTCCTTCTTCGTCGTTCGCGTCGTCGCCGTCCTCCCTCCTCCCTCGTCGTTGTCGTCGTTGTCGCCGTCGTCGTCCTCCCTCCTTCCTCGTTGTCTTCGTTGGCGACGTCGTCGTCGTCTTCGTCGTCGTCGTCGTCGGCGTCGGCGGCGTTGTCGTCTTCGTCGTCGTCGACATCGTCGTCGTCGTCGCCTACGTCGTCCTCTGTCTTTCCTCGTGTTCGTCGTCGTCGTCCTCTCTGGCGTCGTGGTCGTTTCCGTCGTCGTTGTCGCCGTGGTCGTCCTTCCTCCTCCTCCCTCGTCGTCGTCGTCGTCCGTCGTCGGCGTCTCGATGTCGTCCCTCCTCTTTCGTCGCCGTCGTCGTCGTCGTCGTCGTTGTCGTCGTCGTCTTCCCTCCTCCCTCGTCGTTGCCGTCGTCGGCGTCGCCGTCCTTCCTCCTTCGCCGTCCTTCCTCCTTCTTCGTCGGTCGCGTCGTCGCCATCCTCCCTCCTCCCTCGTCGTTGTCGTCGTTGTCGCCGTCGTCGTCCTCCCTCCTTCCTCGTTGTCTTCGTTGGCGACGTCGTCGTCGTCTTCGTCGTCGTCGTCGGCGTCGGCGTCGTTGTCGTCTTCGTCGTCGTCGACGTCGGCGTCGTCGTCGTCGCCGCCGTCGTCGTCGTCGTCGTCGGCGTCGTCGGCGTCGTTAACGTCGTCGTCGTCGTCGGTGTCGTCGTTATCGTCGTCGTCGGCGTCGTCATCGTCGTCGTCGTTGTCATCGTCGTCGTCGTCGGCGTCGGTGTCGTCGTCGTCGTCGTCGGTGTCGTCGTCGTCGTCGTTGTCGGCGTCGTCGAAGTCGTTGGAGACGTCGTCGGTGTCGTCGTAGTCGTTGTCGGCGGCGTCGTCATCGTCGTTGTCGCTGTCGTCGTCGGCGTCGCTGTTGTTGCCAAGTGCCATGTGGTACCCACCGTCACGGTCTTAAGAGATTTTGCAAACCAAGTTGCGGGTGGGTGGGTGGGATGTTTGCGCGAGCAGTGGAGTGGACAACTCACTGCGAACAGAAATTATCTTCCTCCCCTAGATGTTCCTCCATAGGGTTCCACGCCGGCTGGGTGAACACATAGTCCAACGTCATGGCCATGTTTTGGCCCGACGTTTGGCCAGATGGGCAATTCGAAACGGCAGGAGGCAGCGGCGGCTCGCCGTAGGCGTCTTCGATAGTCCTTCCCCGAAGTGGTGCTCGTAAGACTCGACGTCACGGAAAAAGCCATCGAACTGCTGCTGGAAGTGACTGTCGTGGTACTGGCCGTACTGCTCGCTGTCGAGAGGGTGGTGCTACTAGCAGTGCTAGTGGCCATTCCCTTGCAGATGAAGCGGTAGCCAGTGCTGCCGACTGTCCCAGAGCCCGTGGACTGTGAGAAGAGTATGGTGTTAGAAGATGTATCGTAGACGCAGCTGATTCCGAGGCTGGTGCCTGGGATGGGTGTTGTCCCCGCTGGACTCAAGCCCACAGCGCTAGCAGCCGAGGAGAAACACTCTGCCGAGGTCGGCACGTCGTCGACACCCGAACCGTAGCAAGTCTCGGTTGCAGGCAGGAGGGAGTAATCGGGCGGCGAGGTGACGGAGGTGCCAGTGCTAGCGGTTGTCGACACGGTCGAAATCGACGTGGTGGTGGCGGTAGCCGACGTCTCCGTGCTGGTGAAGACGCCCGGACAGATGTACTGGAAAAGGCTGTTGGGCACCGCGGCAGCGCCGGTGATGGTGGAGTCCGCCGGCCCCCGCTTCCCGGGGGTGAAAAAGCGTGTGAGACAATTGGCTCTTCCCCTCCCCCTTCCCCCCTCCCCTGGAGCTCCAAATCGCATTGGATGGGGGGGGAACACGAACTGACCTGTCGAGCGGTTCCCACCAGTATGGCCCTTCGAGCCCCCCAGAGGCCCCTCCAAGAGCCCCTCCAAGAGGCCCCTCCAAGAGGCCTCCAAGACACCCCCAAGAGGCCTCCCAGAGGCCCCCACGAGGCCCCCCCAAAGCCTTTCGGACGCCCCCAAGAGCCTCCCACGAGTCCCCCCAGAAGCAATCCAAGAGCCCCTTACATGCATGCAAGAGTCTCCTGACCCAAGATATAACTTCCACGATCGTCTCAAACACTCGCTCCTCGTGGGGGGCGGTGGAATGGCGTAAGCCACTTGAATAGAAGACCTGACCGGACGAAATGTCATACACGCAGCTGATCTGAAGGACGTTAGAGGGCAATTCCACAGTTTCCACGCTCGGAAAGCCAACTGCCCCTTTTGCTATACCGAAGCACTCGGTGGAATCAGCCACGTCGCTAAGGCCACCATCATGGCACGTCACGCCAGCAGGCATCAGCGAATAGTCAGGAGCAGGGGTAGTGGTTGAGGACGTCGAATCGGTCTGTGTTGTAACAGTGGCGCTCGTGACTGAGCTGCTTGATGTAGTCGTCGAGGAGACGAACACGCCTATGCAAACATACTGGTCGGAGGTTGCGCCATCTGACCCAGCACTGCCGTCGCCAAAGGTGAGCATGCCGTTTTTCCAGACGCAGCTGTGGGCAAAGCCAACGAAAGGCCCGAACGTCGTGCCCCCGAGGCCCAACGCAGCCTTGGCTGCCCCGAAGCACTCCGTAGAGTCGGCTATGTCCGTGAGGCCCGCGGAGGCGCAGCTCAGGCCCGCGTCCAGCAGGGTGTAGACTACTGAAGTCGTGGTATCGGTGGCGGTAGTGGCCCCAGGCACGGTGGAAGACGACGACTGTGTGGAACTGGAAGCAGAGCTAACGGAGGTGCTGCTCATCGTCATGCTCGCCGTCACGGTGGAAGTGCTGCTCGCAGTGGGCGTCGTTGCGGTGATCGACGACAGCGTCGTGCTGGTCGCCGTGGGCGTACTTACGGTGATCGACGACGATACCGTCGTGCTGGAAGCAGAGCTGGTCGAAGTGCTGCTCATTGTGGTGGTCAGGACGCCGATGCAAATATACTGCATGGTGGCCGAGGGCTGAGCCGTAGAGCCGGTGGCCGTTGCGAAATAGACCTGGCTGGTGTCCGTTTTGAAGACGCAGCTGAATGACAACCCGACGCCAGAGAAGTCCTGAAAGGCAGAGGAGCCCAATCCGACGTAAGTCGCCGCCATCGTGGAGCACTCGTGAGCTGTCGTTACGTCGGCCATCCCCGCATCGTAACAAGTCTGTCCTGTCGACAAGAGCGTATCCGCCACCGTGCCTCGGGCACGTAGAGGGGCGACCCAGGGTCCTGACAGTCGTGGACGCTGCGTGCTAGAGGACTGCTGGGTTCTCAGACCCTCTTGCCCGTGACTTGGGCCCCCAGGGCCTCGACCCCCCAGGGCCTCGCCCACCACCCAGGGCCGGCGTCTCATCCGGAGACGAGGTCTTGCTGGAGTGCCGCACCCAGCACCTGCCCCACCCGGCACGAGCCCAAAAGCCCCCGGGGACCCCCGGGACACCCCGGGAGGCCCTCACAGGCCCCGAGCTCGGAAGGCCTGGAGGTCTCCCGGAGGCGCCCTAGAGGTCCCCAAGGGGCGGTGGCGGGATGGGCCGGAGGCCACTGGACCTGTGCTCGGCACGGGGACGGAACGCGCAGGTACTTCGTGGGGGCGCGCGATCGCTTGCGTGGGGTCTTGGAGCCCTCTTGGTGTTGAGACTCTGGTGCGTCATGCAAAAATTTGACACACAACCTTGCGAGAATGAAGGAATATTCTGCCTCTCTGGGCCTTCGTGGGGCCCCTTTTGGGGCTCTTTTGGATCTTCTTGCGGCCCTCTTGGCTGTCCTGGGACCCTCTTGGGCCGCCTTGGGGGCTTGGGCCGTCTTGGGGCCCTCTTGGGGCACTCTTAGGCCCTCTTGGGGCTCTCTTGGTGACCTTTTTGGGACCCGCAGAGACTCCTCTTGGGCCGTCTTGGGGCTCGGTTGGGCTGACCTGGGGCCCACTTGGGCCGTCTCGGGGCCCTCTTGGGGGCCTCTTGGGCTGTCTTCGGGCCGTCGCCGTTTTCGGGCCCTTGTGGGGGCCTCAAAGGCCGTCTCGAGCCGATCTTTGGAGCCTCTTGGGCCGTTTTTGGCCGTTCTTGGCCCGAAAAGGCGAGCATACCCAAAAAACCTTCCAGAACCATTGGAACATGCAGTATTTTTGCCGCTTGGAGCCCTCTTGGGGAGTCTCTTGGAGCCCCCTTGGGCCGTCTCGGGGCACTCCTGGACCGTCGTGAGACCCTCTGCGGCCATCTCGGAACGCTTTCGGACAGTCGTGGGGTCTCTCGGAGCCTTCTTGGACCTTTTTGGAGCCCTCTTGGACTCCACTTGGGGTATCTAGGGCCGTCTTGGGCGCTTCTTGGGCCGTCTTCGGTACCTCTTGGGCCGTCTCGGGGGGGTACCTGGCCATCGGATTCGGGGTTTCCCGGCCTCGCCCCTCCCCTGGACCCCTCCCTAGAGGGCTTCGCCCCACACAGGAACATCATCACTCGTACCTCGCTCGTTCCGTCACATGGGCCAGCACGGGAACGACATGAGCGGTTCGGGCACTTTCCTGAGATGGCTCATGGCACCGTTCGCTCTTGGGAGCCTCGATGTGAAACATGTGTCACGTTACCGCTCGCCCTTGGGAACCTTTGTGTAAAGTGCTTGTCATGTCACTGCGGGCTCATGAGAGCCCTGATGTTCAGAGCTTTTACGTAAACGCTCGCTCTTGGGAGCGCGGGTGTTCAGAGCTTATCACGTTACGATGGGCTTTCGGAAGCCTTGGTGCTCAGAGCTTTTTACGCCACCGCTCGCTCTTCGGAGCCTTGGTGGCCAGAGCTTTTAAATGCACCAATCGCTCTTGGGAGCCTGGTTGTGAAGAGCTTGCCACGTCACGGTGGGCTCTCGATGGTCGTGGTGTTCAGAGCTTGCTAGGTCACCGCTCGCTCTTGGGAGCGTGGGTGTCAAGAGTTGCTTACGTCACCTCTCGCTCTGGGGAGCCCTTGCGTTACGAGATTGTCACGTCAATGTGAGCTCTTGGGAGCCTCTGTTAGTTGGCGTCTCCAGGCCTTCTTGGAGGCCCTGTTGGGCGCCTGCTGGACCCTCTTGGGGCCCTCTTGGGCCGTCCTGGGGCTCTTTGGGGCCGTCTTGGGGCGTCTGAGAAGGCTTTGGCCGTCGTGGGGCCTTCTGAGGGGCATCTTAGGCCCCTCTTGGGAGCCTCATGGGGCCCACTTGGAGCTCGCGTGGGAGCCTCTAAGGGCCTTCTTGGGCCATATCGGGGCCCTCTGAGGGGGCGTCTGAGGGCCGTCTTGGAGCGTCTTGGGGCCCTCTGGGAGGCCTCTTGGGCCGTCTTGAGACGATCTTGGGAGCCTTTTGGGCCGTTCTGGCCCGTCGGGTGCCCGAAAAGGCGAGAATCATAAAAACATTGTTTGGGGTAATACCAGTTTTCGGCCTCCTCAGGCCGCCTCGGGCACCCTCTTGGGAGGCTCGTAGGCCGTCGTCGGAGCCTCTTGGGCCGTCTTGGAGGGCTTGAGTCGGTTTGGGACCCTCTTGGGGCCGTCTTGGGTCCTCTTCGAGGCCTCCTGTGCCACTGGTGGGCTTTCCTGGGAGCCTCTTGGGGCCCTCGTCGGATCTTACTAGTGTTCTACGCGGCCGTCCTGGGGGCCTCTTGCGGCCCTTAGAGCCCTCCTGGGCCGCCTTGCAGCAATCGCGGGCGCACTCGGAGCCGTCTTTGGCCGATCTTGGCCCGAAACTGGGAACACCCAAAGAACAGTGGAAACCATCTGGAACCTCCATGTATGATTCTGCCTCCTCAGGCCGTCTCAGGGGTCCTCTGGGGGGGCTCGTGCGCCGTCTCGGGAGCCTCTTGGACCGTCTTTGGGTGGCCGGGCCGTCTGCGGACCATCTCGAGGCCCTCTTTTTGGCCCTCGTGGCGGCCTTCCATGGCCCTCGGGGCGCTCTTTCGGGAGCCCACGTTGATTCGCGCGTTGAAATCCCAGGGAAGGCGTCCTGGCACCAGTCAGAATCGCCAGGACGCAACAATGACGCTGATTCGCGGCGCTGAGGAGTCCCTGGAGTCGCATTATGGCACGATTGAAGATTATCAGCCGACTGTCTTCCATCGGGGCAATTCCCGCAGTGATGACAAATCCTTATCGGGACCTACGAAGATGGAACTTGAAGGGTGGGTGGATTGCATCATCGCTGATGCGCCTTAGGTTTACACTGGTCCTCATCATCCTCCTCATCATCACCATCATCGATAATTCTCCTTTCTGAAAGAAAGACTAGACCCCCCTCCCGGACTTACCGGCTCCCCCTGGGATGATATAAAATCATATATATATATATATATATATATATATATATATATATATATGTATATGTATATATCCTGCACACTCGTCCATCCTAAATATGAAATCATATCATCCCAGCCAGGCCGGTTCCCCCCCTGAGGGTCCCTTGTAAAAAAACACTATGCGGTGACATTTTCTGTTCTAACATAACACTTTATCCACGAATCCCTTGCAAAAAACGAGACGAACTGCACACGCGCGCGTCGTCGCGCGCGCATGCCGAAATCCTTCAAAAACCTTGGGTGCGGGAAGGATGTCGCAATCGAGCTTCCAAAAAACATGCAAAAACAAAGGGTTTCGCAACACAGAGTTGCTAAAAAAGCTTCCGCGAAAGCTCTTGCGAAATCTTAAGAAAACCATAGGTTTTTCAAGATTTTAACAAAATGCTACCAAATGGGCTTCGCGCGCGCTCATGTCGAAATCTGTCGAACGCCCTTGCGCGTGTGCCGTCGCAAGAATCCCCTGCAAAAAATATGTGACGGAGTGTAGACGCGCGCGTCGTCGCGCGCGTACGCCGAAAACCGTCAAAACCCATCGGTTTCGGAAGGATTTCAAAATCGTGTGTCCAAAAAACCTACAAAAACACAAGGTTTCGCAACACGGATTTTCAACAAAAGCGTGCGCGCGCGCTCTTGCGTCGTCGTCGTCGTCGTCGCCGTCCACCTTCCTCCCGCGTCGTTGTCGTCGTCGTCGTCGCCTACGTCGTCCTCTGTCTTTCCTCGTGTTCGTCGTCGTCGTCCTCTTTGGCGTCGTGGTCGTTTCCGTCGTCGTTGTCGCCGTGGTCGTCCTTCCTCCTCCTCCCTCGTCGTCGTCGTCGTCCGTCGTCGGCGTCTCGTCGTCGTCCCTCCTATTTCGTCGCCATCGTCGTCGTCGTCGTCGTTGTCGTCGTCGTCTTCCCCTCCTCCCTCGTCGTTGCTGTCGTCGGCGTCGCCGTCCTTCCTCCTTCTTCGTCGTTCGCGTCGTCGCCGTCCTCCCTCCTCCCTCGTCGTTGTCGTCGTTGTCGCCGTCGTCGTCCTCCCTCCTTCCTCGTTGTCTTCGTTGGCGACGTCGTCGTCGTCTTCGTCGTCGTCGTCGGCGTCGGCGGCGTTGTCGTCTTCGTCGTCGTCGACATCGTCGTCGTCGTCGTCGCCTACGTCGTCCTCTGTCTTTCCTCGTGTTCGTCGTCGACGTCCTCTCTGGCGTCGTGGTCGTTTCCGTCGTCGTTGTCGCCGTGGTCGTCCTTCCTCCTCCTCCCTCGTCGTCGTCGTCGTCCGTCGTCGGCGTCTCGTTGTCGTCCCTCCTATTTCGTCGCCGTCGTCGTCGTCGTCGTTGTCGTCGTCGTCGTCGTCTTCCCTCCTCCCTCGTCGTTGCCGTCGTCGGCGTCGCCGTCCTTCCTCCTTCTTCGTCGTTCGCGTCGTCGCCGTCCTCCCTCCTCCCTCGTCGTTGTCGTCGTTGTCGCCGTCGTCGTCCCTCACTCCCTCTCGTTGTCTTCGTTGGCGACGTCGTCGTTCGTCGTCGTCGTCGTCGGCGTCGTCGTTGTCGTCTTCGTCGTCGTCGCCGTCGGCGTCGTCGTCGTCGTCGCCGCCGTCGTCGTCGGCGTCGGCGTCGTCGGCGTCGTTAACGTCGTCGTCGTCGTCGGTGTCGCCGTTATCGTCGTCGTCGGCGTCGTCATCGTCGTCGTCGTCATCGTCGTCGTCGTCGGCGTCGGTGTCGTCGTCGTCGTCGTCGGTGTCGTCGTCGTCGTCGTCGTCGTCGTCGTTGTCGGCGTCGTCGAAGTCGTTGGTGACGTCGTCGGTGTCGTCGTATCAGAGGACCACAAGTCTGTAGGGTAGGGGGGACTCCGGGCTAGGGTACTACTCGCCCCCTGGGAATCAAGAGAATGACGCCGTCAGGACGGAGGCGGTTTCAGA